AAAAATAACAAATGCATTTCATTATTATATATTTACATTAACTGTACTGTATTTATTTTATAAAAACTTGCTTTCTTCATTGTAACTTCTTTCACATTTCCTTCCTTGTTAGGGGAATAATAATACCTTAGATTTTAAAAAAGTACATACGTTACTGAGGATCACGTGTCTGTTAAGTGCGCATGCGCAACTTTATTCCCACAGAGCTCCCAACACTGCTTTACAGGTGCTGCGGTAAAAGTTTACACACGCATCACAATATTCAATTAATCACTACGCTTGTTATCGTACAACTAACTAACATGCCGTGAAAGTAGATAGACTAGGCTGATTCCACTCCGGGAGCTCTGAGGGGGGGTGAGGTGCGCGAGGAAGGTACGGGGGAGGGGAAGGGGAGCCGGGCCGTCTTATCGCGCCGCCGCCGCCGCGCCGCTGGCCCCTCGCCTTAACCGCCTCCGATGACCGAGATGTTATGGTATACTATTTCAAAAAAGGTGCCGCCGCGGGATACTGTTTCAAAAAAGGTGCCGGCGCGGGATAGCGCAGCCGATGACGTCATCGGGCGATGACATCATCAAGTCCCCCTCCCCCCAAAAAATGCTTCCACAGGGATCACGTGACGCATGCTTCATCGCTCCAGAGCGGATGTTTTCAAAGGCCGCCAACCCCCTCCAAAATGCGAGACGTAATTTGATACCGAGTATCAAATTTCAACGCGTTATCGTTCGCGATATGTTTTCCAGGAAGAGCGGCGAGGACAGGTCGCGACAAGTTCGAGCGCCGATGATTCGGCTGCTGAACGAAAGTGATCCCTCCAACAGAAGTAACAAATTAATACGCGTTATCTGTCGCGATAACGATACTTTTTTCCAGGAAGAGCGGCGACAGGTCGCGACAAGTTCGAGATGCAGTTCTAGGAAGACGCGTACTGAGAGGTTAGGACAAAGGAGTCGCAAACGGCATATATAACGAGTCGGAAGCGCGTTGCGCCTCATTAAGTGTCGCGAATCGATCGTGTTGAAATGTGCGATTATAATATACAGGGTGTACAAAAAGTCCCGGGACGGTTGAATAAGTTTTGAAAAAAAAAGTATTTCAAAAATCCCCGAAACACGTCAAACGATTTTTTAAAAAAGCTATCTTTTGAGGGGTATCGACCCCCCACCTCCAAGGGGGCACGTGGGGCACGAGGGGGGATTGAAATCTTAAATGACACCATGGGTCGAGTGGGGGCTCGTTTGAAAGGTCTTGTCGAGATGAATACAAAACACCCGGCATAGAGGGCGCTGCAATCACTTTTCGCGAAGATATTTGACTTTTAATATTTTGGATGTTACAACATTTAAAAAATAAAAATTTTCGATAATCGTCGAAAGATGTAGTTAGATTCTTTTAAAAAGTTCTTATTGGAGGGGGTTTTCATATCCTAAGCCCTCAATTCTATCCAAATTAACGACCCACGGAAAGTTCAAAATTTCATTTACGTCACTGACGTCATTTATGTCCAGCCAGTTAAGACAAGACGTGATAATATTCAGCCGTTAATAGCATCAACCCAACAAATGCTCAAATTGTTCTCCATTAACTTGTTGGCAGTAAGCTAATCGATGATAAAAAGCGTTAATGGCATTTTCAATCATTTCAGGTGGAATCAGATCAACTTCGTCTGTTATGCGTTGTTGTAGTTCTGCTAAATGTTTAGGCTTAATTTTGTAAACTCTTAAATATATTTCAACAACATTGATTATCTAACATGGAAGTCATTTTCATATAAAATAGGTATTTATATATGTCGAACGAATGTGAACTTATGTGGTATCTGGATTGTATTTTGTAGTATAACTTCTATTATTTTATATTGTACAATTGTAGTTCTGCATTACGATTTCACCATTTCTGTTCATGAAAATGACTTTCTCTCTGACATACTATCCATGAGACTTACTATGATGAAGAACTACCTGACAAAGATGAATAATGGACTTATTAAATTTATAAAAATTTGACACCTCCACATCAAAGTTTGTAACTCCTACACAATTAATTAATATTCGCTACTACGACACTAATTTGTGAAAAAAAACATTGCAAATAGTGCTATCATCTCGCATTTTTCTTTTTTGAAAATTTATATGTAATGCACAATTTTTAAAATATTTTACACGTTAAAACATTGAAAATGACCTAAGAGAGGTCGAAACGTTTGTTATATTTTATTGTTTATATTTTAACTCTTAGTCTTACTTTTGTTTGCGTCTTCTATGTAACTTTTAATTCTTGTCTTATAAATAATGTTTTCAAAATTATTAATAATAATTTATTATTTGTTTTCTGGCTCGTAGCCCTTCTACACATATTATTTTGTAAACTCTGTCTTTTACATAGCCCCAAAGAAAATAATCGAGTGGGCTCAAATCGGGCGATCTTGCTGGCCATTCGATCGGGCCTCTCCGACCTATCCACCGATCAATAAAAACTGCGTCTAAATATGCTCGAACGTCTCTCCCGTAATGAGGCGGAGCCCCATCTTGTTGAAACCACACGTGTTCGAAGTTTTCACCACAAATCTCTCTTACTGCGGGAACAATCTGATTTCGAAGCATGTCCTCGTATTTTTCAGCAGTCAAATTGCCATCAATGAAGAATGGGCCAATTATTCTGTTTCCCAATATGCCAGCCCAAACATTTAATTTCTCCGGATATTGCGTTCTGTCTTCTCGCATCCAGTTAGGATTTGTAGTTTCCCAATATCTGCAATTATGTCTATTTAGAGTCCCATTTAGTTGAAATGTTGCTTCATCCGAGAAGACTATTCGTGACGGAAGATTGTTGTCATCAGCGATTCGTGACATCATATCATCACAAAATTCAACGCGTCGATCGAAATCATCTTCACTTAACTCGTGAAAAGCTTAACTTTGTATGGATGAAATCCATTTTTTTTTAATATACCGTGAACGGACATTGTACTTATTTCATGTTCTTGAGAGACTTTACGGGTTGAACTATGCGGATCTTCGATGAATGTTAATAATACATTCAATGAGTTACCATCATCTGTTGCTGATGTTGGTCTACCTATTCTAGGTCGATCTTTCACGCTGCCAGTTTCATTGAATCTCCGAATCGTTCGCTCGACAGTTGATTTCGAAACCGGAGTCATCCCGTTTCTGAATGTTTCATTGAAAAGATTCTTTACATGATTGTATGATAGCATTACATCACCCCAGCCTCTCATCATAAGAAGCCTTATTCTGTCTCTTTTAGTGAGGTTTTGCATTACGGCGCACAATACAAAATAATACCAATAATATTCTAAGTAAATCGATATTCAGAGTTTCAACTCAACTGAGTGAAAACAAATTCAAGACTAATAAGAAGACAATACTCGCAAGCCAAAATAATGTAAACAAAAATCTAATGTCAAAAAAGTAAACAAAGTGCGAGTAAAGCTTCAGAGATTACTGCGATCAGTGTATGCGTACACTGCCGACCAAAAGTTTGGAAACACTTAATTAGTTCGAATTTGAAAATGTGTATGTTTCTAAGACTGTAACTTAGGATATGAAAACCCCCTCTAATAAGAACTTTTTAAAAGAATCTAACTACATCTTTCGACGATTATCGAAAATTTTTATTTTTTAAATGTTGTAACATCCAAAATATTAAAAGTCAAATATTTTCGCGAAAAGTGATTGCAGCGCCCTCTATGCCGGGTGTTTTGTATTCATTTCGACAAGACCTTTCAAACGAGCCCCCACTCGACCCATGGTGTCATTTAAGATTTCAATCCCCCCTCGTGCCCCACGTGCCCCCTTGGAGGTGGGGGGTCGATACCCCCCTCAAAAGATAGCTTTTTAAAAAAATCGTTTGACGTGTATCGGGGATTTTTGAAATACTTTTTTTTTTCAAAACTTATTCAACCGTCCCGGGACTTTTTGTACACCCTGTATATAGTGATCGACGATATCCAAGTGATGGATCCCGATGGGATGATCGTTGACGAAGCGATCGAAGATGTGAACGTCGAAGATGTTATGGAAGTTGAGTCTTCCGACGATAGTGTGTTATCGAACGATACTGGATGCGTTAGCGATCTGGAGAACGATACCGATCGTGTGCGAAAAATTATTCCGGACGCGCAAATCCGGGCATTGGGTGTTTTTCGCGTGAAACATTGCCAGATCCAGTGCTACTATGCGACAGGCGGAGCACTAGCCCTGTGTGCCGAGTGCATGGTGAACATTGCCGATGCCGAAGTTGGTTCGATGTTGTTGATCAGGAAGCACGATACCGATTTTATCGAGGTATTCAGCGCTGGAACGTGCTCCAATTGCTGGAAACTGATGTGTCTGGTATTCCCGTGCAGTGTGTGCCCGATTTGCACAGTGTAAAGGAAAAAAAAAAACATGAATTTCGAGGGAATATGCTGGGATGAAGAGGCAGACAGAGAAGAGAAGATACGTTAAAGACGTACTTGAAAATTCGCTGGATTATAGTGCGTGGACATCGCTGGTGCAGGTACTGCGCGACCGAGAGCTCCACGGTGATCGCGTTGTGAAAAACGTAAACGTGACCACGTTCCCCGCTTACGGATGGTCATCGCTCGCGCGACGGGAAGCGTACACGCGGTTACGAGACCAGTGTATAAACGCGGAAAACGCAACAGACTATAAATGGGTGAGGGATAAATTCGAGTGTGGACTCGAGGCTTCGTGCGGTAACATCGCAATAAACACGTATAGTGGCAAAAGGGCCGAAGTGGTGATGATAGGCGACGTATACATATTCGGGTACAATCGTTTTGATGATTCGCATCTTATTGTTAAGAGACTACGCGAACCGTATGACGATAGATGCGTGGAGTGTGAAAAGTGCATCACCTGCCAAAGCCACAACGAAAAGGTGCTACATCTTTTTGACATTGTGCATCTAGAGCGGGCTTGCAAAACGTGCGAGCAACGTGCGTGCAAGTGCTCCGAATAACACTCTTTTGTAAAATGGAAGACTACGAACGTGTGGAAAGCGAACTGCTGGAGCAGTGCGGCCGCGTCGCTACCTTGGCGGAGTGTTTCGTGTGGTTGGAGCAGTGCAACGAGTGCATCGAGAGCCTCGAGGAACTGTGTCGCGCCAAGCGTCCGTGTCTTACCGTCGGGCACAGACAATCCGCGGTGGCGAGGATCGCGCGACTCGAGGGTGCGAGAACACTGTTGGAATGACGGTTCGTGCACGTGGGTCATGGCGTGGGTGGTGGTGATCGCGAGGACGACAGATCTCTCGCTTGGCGCGAGATCGACGCCGCTTTTGACAATCGCGTTCTAACCGGTGCGGTTATAAATTCGGGACACATAGAACCGCAGCAGTTTCTGGAAGACGCCGGTAGTGTAGTGCTCGAGCGTGTGCGGGGCGCTATAGAGAGACACGGTAGCGTCAAAGTGAACACCGCGTCCAACGGCGAGTTCATCGCGGGTGATAAACGCACAGTTATGGGCATAAACAGAAAAACTGCGAACTATATCGGTGCACCAATCTGCGCGAGTGGTACGCGTCGCGCGTTATCGAGCCTACGTTGGCGTCGCTCGAAGAGCACCAGGAGCGCGACAGCGGGTGGGCGCTCTCGCGAATCCTGAACCTAACCGTGAACGTGAACAAACTGAATCAGGGGTGTCACATTACAGTGCCACCGAAAATTAAGGACAAGAACGCGCTGGTCAACGTGCGATCCATGGACAATACGTGCTTCGCGTGGTTGGTGATAGCCGCTCTGTACCCCGCGGAAAGACACGCGGAACGTGAATCGTCGTATCCGTATTATTCTAAAGTGCTCAACTTCGCGGATATCGAGTTTCTGGTAACGCTCAAAGACGTTGCGAAATTCGAGCGCTCGAACACGGTGTCGGTGAACGTGTACGGTATCGAGGACGGGGATATCCTGTCTCTGCGGCTCACCGACTGCAAGAGGGACAGGCACGTCAATCTCCTGTACGTGCAAGACGGCGACACAGGACATTTCGCGACGATCAAGCATCTCTTCCGCTTCGTCGGCACGCAGATTAACAAAAAGGGGCACAAGAAATATTTCTGCGAACGGTAAGTACAATAAGAAAAAAAAGAAAAGAAATTAAAAGAAACAGTAGTAAATATAATAATAAATTTGTTGTTTGCAGTTGCCTCCACTACTTCTCCTCCAACGAGAAACTGGAGAGGCATAGCGAGGACTGCCAAAAGCTCAACAAATGCGCCATCCGCCTACCGCGCGTGGAGCAAAGGTGGCTCGAGTTCGGCAATTACTACATGAAGGAGCGGGCGCCATTCGTGGTATACGCCGACCTAGAGTGCGTCTTGCGGAAGACGGAAGACGCTGCTGGTTCGTCGTCGTACGCGTACCAGCGGCACGAGATGTGCAGCATAGCGTACTACGTGCACTGCTCCTACGACGGCGCGTTATTCGAGTACAGATGTTGGCGAGGCAACGACTGCGTCAGTTGGTTCGCGCGCCAGCTAGAAACTTTGGCGCACCGCGTGAAGAACGCGATAACGACCAACCGGCCCATGGACTTTACGCGCGACGACTGGCGGAGATTCGACAGTGCGACGCACTGCCACATCTGCGAGAGGCCGTTCGCCCCGGGCGACGAGCGGGCGCGCGACCATTGCCACCTCACCGGGCGATACCGCGGTCCAGCGCACAAGGGATGCAACGTGAACTACAAGAACTCTATGTACATTCCGGTTGTATTCCACAACTTATCGGGGTACGACGCGCACTTCGTCATACGAGAAATAGCGACACAATTCCAGGGACAAGTGGATCTACTTCCTCTGACCAAGGAAAAGTACATTTCGTTTACGAAGCACGTGACAGACACCAGTGACAAAGATTCGCGAAAGTGCGTGAAACTACGATTCATAGACTCGTATAAATTTCTGAGTGCGAGTCTCGACAAATTGGCGTCGTATCTCGACAAGGACAAATTGAAAATTGTGCGTTCTGAATTCTCACATGTATCGGACGAAGAATTCGATCTGCTCACTCGAAAAGGGGTGTTTCCCTACGAGTACGTGGACAGCGTAGAGAAACTGAACGATACGCGCTTACCGCTGCGCGAATCGTTCCACAGCTCGCTGACGGGCGATACAGTGTCCGAGAGCGATTACGCGCACGCCGAGAACGTGTGACAGCGGTTCTCCGTGCGAACGCTCGGCGAGTACAGTGATCTCTATTTAAAAACGGACGTCCTGTTGTTGGCCGATGTGTTTGAGAACTTTCGCGACAGTTGCGTCACGAGTTACGGTCTCGATCCCGCGCATTACTACACACTGCCTGGTTTCACGTGGGACGCGATGCTGAAACACACGCGCGTGAAATTCGAGTTGCTCACCGATATCGATATAGTGATGTTCATCGAGCGCGGCGTACGCGGCGGCCTCAGCCAATGTTCCGGCAGATACGCGCGGGCCAATAACAGGTACATGCAGTCGTACGACCCGTCGGAACCGTCGTCGTACCTGACGTATTACGACGTCAACAACCTGTACGGCTGGGCGATGTGTCAGCCGTTGCCCTACGCCGACTTTCAATGGGTCGACGACGCGCACAATTTTGACTTTACCATCGCGTTGGATTCACCCACCGGATACATTCTCGAGGTGGATCTCGAGTATCCGCGGCGTCTCCACGACGCGCACGCGGACTTGCCATTCTGTCCGACGCGCGATAAGCCGCCCGGCAAGCGCGACGACAAGCTTCTCGCGACTCTGTACGATAAGCAGCGGTTCGTTATCCACTACCGCAACCTTCAACAATGCACGCGTCACGGCCTTCGCGTAACAAAGATCCATCGCGTGTTGCGATTCGCGCAATCAGCCTGGCTCCGCGACTACATCGAACTGAACACGCAGTTTAGAACGCGTGCGAAGAACGATTTCGAAAAAAAACTGTACAAACTGATGAACAACGCGGTGTTCGGCAAGACGATGGAGAACGTGCGCGATCGCGTCGACGTTAAACTAGTGACGACGTGGGAAGGACGGTACGGCGCGGAGGCGTTGATCACGAAACCGAATTTCTACAGCCGCAGCGTCTTCGCGGAAAACTTGGTAGCGATCGAATTGAGCAAACTCGAGGTGAAATTCGACAAGCCGATTTACGTAGGTTTGTGCATCCTGGACATATCGAAAGTATGCTAGTAGATAACCTAGATGTTCTTGAAATCCACAGATACGACTTAGAACAGTCATCGGGGGGATAGCCAATCGCGTGGCTGCTCTATGCTTGTGTGCGTGACTTCTTTGATTGTGTGTGTGTGATTTAGAAAGCGAAACACGGTTTTTTCAAGGTCACGCGCCTATGGTGGGGGCGCCGGTCGGTTGCCACTGGGAACGCGACACGCTGTCGTCGAGCGCGCGCTCGACGCTGACGGCGGAGCGAGGTTATGTCGCGCGCTTCGCGAGGTTACGTCGTTCCCCGCACTTTTCGACAGGACGCGCGTGCGCGCAGAGATTCTCGCCGCTATCGTCGTTTTTATGTTACTTGAAGTTTATTAATTTTATTCCGCTCTCGCGTACCGGAGACAGTGTCTCGACGCGCGAGTGCGATGCGCTCGTAATCTCGGGTCGCGCGACCCGATCAAAAGGTCGCGTTGAATACACGCTATCGACACGGTGACTAATTGTTAGTGATGCACGCAATATTCGAGACATCAAGATTCTTGTCTTGTCTTGTCTCGAAATCAAGACGATATCAAGACAATATTGATTTAATAAATTTCGATACGAGACAATATTACTTTTCCAAGATCAATATTCTCGGCTCAAGAATATCGAAAATATTGAATATCAAATAAATAGATATATTGGAAATATATCAAATTAATAGATAACATCTAATAGAAAAAATATAGAAATAATTTTAATTACGTTTAGTGGCTTATTATTCATACTTACATAAATGAATATAAATGTTTTCACTGATATATGGAGTATTACTATTTTATATTATAATCTATATTGTCTATATTATAATCTATATTAATCTATATTGTGTTATTGCAATGAAATAAAATCAATACAATTTTATTATAATATTATAAACTTCTCTTTTTCGCGTCGCGTCGTGACACGATGGATGACGTAACGCGTGACGTCGTGACGTGCTCAGTGGAAACGTAACCTTATGCACGCGCCCAATCGTCTATGCTGCCCTCCTTTTTCCAATTAATTGCGTTCAGCAGAAAGTTTATTTTGCAACTGTTGGAAGTTTTGTTTGCACTGATTGGATTATACTTTTAGATTCAGAAATATGATCTTATTTTAGTAAAAAATCATAAATAATGTTTGTCTCGTCTTTAGTACATTTAAATACTTTTTAAATTTAATACTTTAATACTTTATGATATATTTAATACTTTTTAAATTAAAAATTTTTTAATAAAAATCAATATTTTCGAGAATATTGAAATCAAGACGAGATTTATTTTTGATCTTAATAACGAGATCAAGACAAGAATTAATTTTTCAATATTTTTGCGAGACGAGACGATATTTTTTAAAATATCGTCTTGTCTCGTCTTCGTGCATCACTAAATAATTGTAAGGTTGTCAATGAAATGAAAAGACAATGAGTCAATATTATATGTGATCTAATAAACCATTTAATATATTATTAATTAAAATAAAATAAAAATAAACTAAAATTCACACTATAAATGCGCACGCAATCAAAAAGTAAGCGGTGGCATCGGTGGCACTCATACCCCCCACAGGTCGATGTACCTATTCAGCCTCCTCGTCCAGCAGGTAGATGAGGAGGAGGCATAGCTCCTCCACATCATCCACCTGCATGAGGTGCATCACAAATTGTACAAGGTCTTCCGGATCCACCTCGTCGAAATTCATGGGAGGAAGATCGTTCTCTTCCTTCTCGTCCTCCTCTTCTTCTTCATCCTCTGCAGGAGAGGGTGTAGGAGGGGGTGTAGGAGAGGGTGCAGGAGGATCATCCTCCACCTCCTCCTCGTCAGCGTTGTAGTCCTCATCCTCCATCTCCTCCTCGTCAGCGTTGTAGTCCTCTACCTCTTCCATCTCAACATCCTCCACTACAACCTCCACCGCCTCCTCCTCTTCCTCGTTTCCGAATATGGAGTTTTTAATCGGATCCAGTAAATGCATGATGTTACGTACACGCAAGTATAGATACACACAAAACACGCAACGTTCAGATCGTTAATGTAAATTGCACAAATTCAATCTATTTAAATAGTCAAAATTTTGAAAAAATAGTGAAAATCGCATAGCGCGATATGTAATTTTGTCGGAAAAACGTGAAAAAATACATGTCGCGCGCGATGACACTTTGATCGAGATTTTGCGGAAATTGCGAAATAGTCTATGGAAATAAATCGTAAATACAAGAGGTCACATCCGATGTCATTGTAGGCATTTTTGTATATTTTATTTTATCGCGAAGAATATTTAGCTGTCTATTAAGAAAACGAGAGAGACGTTTATCGTTTTTATATTTTCGTTTACTTGTCCTTCGACTCGGTTTAATTTAATTGTGTTATTATATTTTATTTATTTTTGCGACCGTCAACCGAGTATCTCTCTCGTTCGTCAAAGTTACTATTTTCTGTAAGATTAAACGGTTTTATCTGGTAAAGGGAAAACTGCTCCGATTGGTCCGACACCTTGGGGTGGGAATAACTCTTAGACAACGCGTATAAATATGCGGATTTTCGAGCGAGGAAGGCAGAACAAAAAGGGAGAACAGAAAGGAAGAAAAGGATTATTCTGGCGGCGTACAAGAACTAACAGCGAAATCTCCGGCGTCCGCAACAACTCTACAATATATATATATAACGTTCGCAAATAAAAACATTTTAACTGGAACATAAGAAATATATATATATACCTCATCTCTATTCCACATCTTGAGATAATAATACATCTGTGTGATAACTATCGGCTGGACTTCGGGGAATCGGGTATCTGTCGAATGACGGTTTATCGTCATTGTTTTCACCCAACAGCATCAGAAGTGGGATTCGAAGCACGCCCTCACATTGAGAGGATCCGGAAATGCCCGGCGAGTGAACACGGTCAGTAAACTTTATTGAATAGCGAGGCGTATTTCAAAGAACGGGCCGCGAGTGCTAGCTTTCGTGGACGCGTCGACGGGCAACGTTATTAATTATTTGATTCCGGAGAGACAGTCACGATGGAGATAGGAAGTGAGATGACAGTGACCGATCTAAAAAACGCTCTTCGCGAACGCGGACTGACCACGAGTGGTCTAAAGATCGAATTGATAAAGCGGTTAAATGAATACGATCCGAACGTGTGGGTGGAGTTGGCGGAGACGCTGGGGGCCGCGCAGGGTGAGGACGAGGATCCGGGGTGCTCGCGTCGATCGGATGAGGATGGCGTGACACCGGCAGCGGACGAGGGGACTCAGGTGCCGGCGGCGAGCGTGAGGTCTCGGGCATCGGCGGCGAACAGGGAGGCTCGTGCGCCGGGAGACAGGAGTTTCGCGGAGCGGGACCTGGAGGACCGTGTCAGCTCTATGAGACGGGAGCTGGAGATACTTCGTCGGGAGAGAGAGTGCTGGCAGAGAGAGCAGCAGTTGCTGCAGCGGGAGCTGGAGCTTGTGAGAGGCTCGCCTGCGGCGGGAAGCGCGGCATCGGGGGGCGGCGCGGTATCGGCGCCGGGCGGCGTGCGGAGCGTTCGAGAGCTGCTTCCTGAGTTCGACGGAGCGGACAATACTTTTTGGAGGTGGAAGCAGCAGTTGCAGTTATTGAAGACCACCTACAACTTGGACGAGAATGCTACTCGAATTTTGATTGGTTCACGACTGAAGGGACGCGCGCTGTCGTGGTTCTATTCGAGGGCAGAGTACCTGGTGTTAAGCGTCGAAGATTTGCTCAAAGAGATGGATCAGCTGTTTGATCTGCGTCCGGGCAAACTGACCATGAGAAGGGAGTTTGAGTCTCGGACTTGGAAGTCAGGCGAATCATTTTGTGATTATTACCATGACAAGATGATCCTGGCGAATCGAGTGCCGATAGCCGGGGACGAAATCCTGGATTATGTTATCGAGGGCGTATCTGATCAGAGACTGAGAAACCAGGCGCGAATGTTAAATCTGAGGGAAGGAGCCGAGTTGCTGAAGGCGTTCGAGAAGA